TCCCAACCAGGTAGTTTACACCTACCAATATGGCTCAGTCTAATTGTCAGTGACTTCATGGATTTGCGCCACGTTTTTGTCTAGCCGCCCCTAGCTTTCTTCCAACCTACTCTTACACCATGAAACAATGCATGTCGGGCCAGTCGGTGGTTGGGCATACGTAACACATGTCCCAGCCATCTCAACTGTGAAGTTTCAGTACTTCATCAATCGATTTGCCATCCTTACCTAGTACCCGTTTCCTAACAACTGCGTTACTTACCCGGTGGTCCCAGGATATACGAACAATGCTTCGAAGACATCTATGATCGAACACTAGTAGCCTACGAATGTCCTCTACTCTTATCGGCCACGTTTCACTGCCATAAAGTAGGACGGAACGGACTGCTGCACAGTAAACCCGTCCTTTTGTTGCTAGACGGATATCTCGCCTACGCCATAAATGACGCAAGTTGGCGAAAGCTAGACGAGCCTTCTGTATCCGTGCTGAGATTTCGTCACATACCAGACCACAAGGGCTGATGAAACTCCCAAGATAAGTGAAGTGGTCTACACGCTCAACTACTTCACTCCCTATCATTATTTCAGGTGCCGATGCAACCCAATCCTGAAGTAACATTTTGCACTTCGAGGGAGAGAATCTCATCCCGAACATGCCTGCATTGTTGCTTATAGTGGTAAGTGCTGAACATATCGATAATATCTATGCAATTTATTAGCATAAAATAATGAACCTATAGAGTAGTTCTTTATTTTAATCAATAAAAAAGTATATTTAAAATGATTAGAATGTAACTAAAAGGATATAAAATGAGTATCTCTAAGTGTTTCCAATTTGATGTAAAAACTTCATTACGTGCTCAATTTTTTTTAACTTGAATTACTATTCTACCTTAACAATACTCTTTTCCCTTCTATAGTTAATCCTATTTCATCATCTTACCTTAATTCAGTTTCAATATTTAATCAGGTGGATTAAATGAACCATGAATAAGTTAGATTCATTTTTCCACTTCTTATAAATTACATAACTGTTCAATATTAGAATATAAAAGTTTATAGAGAAAGAAAAAGAATATTTAGGTAAATCGTTTTTACGACAGTGTTGTTTAAAACACCTCCGTCTGTCTTTTACTCAATCGCTTATATACTCATTATACTTCATGTTACATCTAATATATTAAGCGGAAAATTCAATTAGCTAAGTGTCCACTTATGATTGATTAAAGAAAATATATATAACCTCACCTGTAAATACAACAGGTATCTTTATAAGTTTTAACTAGTCAACTTCATATGTATAAGTTTAGTTATATACATAAGAAATAATTAAATAATCTATTATTCAATCAAATTTATTTTAGACCAATTTACGGAGATTATAAGCAAAGATGGATAGTGGATAGCAGTAGAATCCAGGACACGCGTTACGTCCCATTTGAGACTCGTCAGCTGAATGCACTTGCATCTCAGAGTTGATGTTCATACTATGACTCGAACCCAGTAACTTTCGCTTGAAACGCCATCGCGTTATCCAATCAGTTACTGAGTCCTGGTAGCCACTTGCTTGTACAATGGGGTGAAGCTGAAATTCAATTGGTATTCTTTGATTGATTTTTCCCATTGATTCAGGTACATCCAGCTGATGAGTCTTAAATAAGACAAAATGCGCATTCTGGATTCCACTGCTAGCCACTATACATCTTTTCTTATAATCTCCTTAAATTGCTTATAATGCTTGTGAATTAAGGCTATATCAAGGCAGTACGCACAGTATGCACATATACCAATAACAGACTGATCTATTGCAGTCCTAAAACACCAATGGGAATATTCAAACAAACAATACCAAGTGAATTTAATTTACGTAGATGTTTTAAAATTGTTATAGAAATGCTAGTCTAAACTAAATCTCAGAAAAATATAACCAACTAACAAAAATGCACATTAAACTCTTCTTCAATAAATTGAACTATTTAATTAAAATATGGTATTCTTTATTCGAAGGTCTAAGTCAATTTTGTGCTAATCACACTGAATGATCTTTATTAAAATGTATGAAAATATTCTGATATATATACGTGAGATTGGTCGTTGTCAGTGACGAATATTATAAACCCTAGAACTGACTGTGAAAACTTTATTTCATTACTTACACATAGTCAGTACACATTCTCAATTCTACATGAGATTGAAACTGAGATCTATGTTACGTGATGAATATGTTTGTTTGTAATCTGTTGTAAAAAAAAGTAAATGAAAAGCACCTTCGTACATGATCAGCTGACAATATCATGTTAAGTATGGTCAAGCATTATGTTATTTTCAATACATATAGTCATAACTTTCTGCTTAAATGTTAGATAACCTAATTTTGGGTCTAAATTTTGATCTTAAAAAAGTAACTTCACTTATAATGGTAAAAAATATAAGTTTCGATTAATTTCAGATTTGTTCGGTTTACTAACTGTTCTAATTCAGTAAAATATCATGACCCATAAAGTGCTTTCCTCCAAGTTAATAAGGGAAATGAAACAACTTATTTAAATGAAACAAAGACTAAAGACGATAGACGATAGTTACATAGTAAGGTATGAATACTTTATACTGCGAAAGTGATTTAAGTCAAAATCATATACCATGAAAGCAAACCATTTCATAATGAGACGAAAATTGTCATAATAGATTGATATATAATCAATGCTAAGTAATATAAGCAAGCTCGAAGCAAAAGTCAAATTGCAAACGTAGATAGTATCAAAACATCTGTTTAATGACTTACAGAGACAAAGACGGATCGAATTTAGTCATGAGTATTAGCAATAGAGAAATATAAACTCTCATAAAAATAACAATAAATACATCTCTCTTGTGATATATCAATGAGTAGAAAATTGTATTTCTGATGTTTATTATAATTAATATTTACCAACATGTTTGTTGAATAAGTTTGTGGCTGTTGTTAAGCACTTAATCTGATGTTTGGAGAAAACCACATTTGTGAAACAATCGTAAGGACTTAATGGATACAAAGTATTTGTTTCGTCTTATCCAAGAACCCCTGAGTAGCAAATTATTTTAACCTCCAATAAAGTGTAATGAAAATCTATGAGGCTTTGCAACCGATCAGTTATCCTACTTAATTTTAGTTAGTAGAAATTTAAAATTAACTTGATCTATAGTATGAACCTATTTCGGAGACAGTCATCTAGACTTGAAACTCATATAAGAACAACCGTATGGGAAATTAACTTCCATAGATTATGTAACTTAACTTTTAACCTTACTACAGAGTTGAAAATGCTCTTCGCTTATTGTGTATTTATCAATCACGTAATGGGTTTATCAATTGAAGAACATATGGAACTCAAAACAACTCTCAACTAATTTCAAAGTGAGAATCTTCAATACAAACGTCAAGACAGTTAGTTCTCTAGTACGGAGCTGAAACGTGGAGAACTACATCCATCGTCAAAAAACGTACAAATATTTATAAAAAGTTGCTTACGCAAAATACTCAACATTCACTGGCTGGATACTATCAACAACAGCTTCCAGCTGAATAGGAAGTGAATTGGATATACATTAAGGAAATCAAAGTGTATCACGAGTCAATCCCTAACTTGGAATCCCGAAGAGAAACGGAAAAGAGGTAGGCCAAAAAACACATTACTCCAGGAAATAGAAGCAGATATAAAAATGATGAATGCTAACTGGAAAGAACTAGAAAGGATTGCCCAGGACAAGGTTGGATGGAGTATACTGGTGTTCAGCCTATGCTCCTCCACGAGGGGTAACAGACGTAAGTAAGGAAGTAATGAGTTGATCAAGTTAGCTACCAAAAGTAAATCAACAAATAATTTGTAGTCCATGAAAAGTTTAATACATTCTCTTTGTTTTTTGATAATTCATTTTGTCGAGCTTTTAAAAACCTGAAAAACAATAGTCATTTTATTTAAAACAAACATTTTAATTACCTGGATACCTACTAATTTCAAGCTGATACATAATCAGATTTAGGCAACAAAAATTAATCATAGACACGTGTATTTTGTAACAGTCACACACTTAATAAGTATTATTCAATAAAAAAAAACAAATACTTAGTTGAAGGACATACTAATTACAAACTTTCACTGCCACTTCATCTATCCTAGCAACTTAAACACGTGTGTCGCCTAATAATCAAATACTAACATGTTAGTTGTAATGTTGATTATTTTTGTATTACATAACAAATAATTTGTTCAATTGGATACTGAGTCTTACGTAACTGAAATTCAAGTGATATTCAAAGCACTTATTATGAAAATAGATCAACTAAAATAAAATAAAAGTCACTTTTTTCAATATAAAAAATTCCGTACACAATAAGGTAATTAGATCTTTGCAAATGACTATCAAAAATTAAACATTAGAACTGTTGGATGCCGGCTCAGTGGTCTAAAGGTTAAGCGCTCACGCGTCCTGAATTCCACTGCTAGCCACTATCTATCTTTACTTATAATGCTTGTGAATTAAGGCAATATAGAGACAGACCGCACAGGATGCACAAATGCCAATAACAGACTGATCAATTGCAGTTCTAAACATCAATGGAAACATTCAACCAAACAATATCAAGTGAATTTAAACTTCACCCCATTGTACAAGCAAGTGACTATCAGGACTCAGTAGCTGAGTGGATAACGCGATGGTGTTTGAAGTGAACTCTACTGGGTTAGAGTCTCAGAGTAAACATCAACACTCAGATGTAGGTACATCCAGCTGACGAGTCCCAAATAGGGCGTAACGCGCATCCTTGATTTCAATGTTATCTACTATCTATCTTTTCTGATAATCTTAATCATGAGTTTAAGAAATAAGAATATAATTTACCATCTAATTTTTAGTCTAAAATTTTTAATAAACAAATTCTACGAAAAAGAAAAAGATTATCGATCAACTTGACAACAGATTGTTATCGATCAATATGTAAGTGATCATCATTTTATTTATGAACTGATTTCATTAAAGCTAATTCCCTTTCATTTATTGAATAGAAATAATGATAAATTCAAAGTCATTTATAATCATTATTGATAATGATTGCATAAGATCTGCTGAATCAAATTTATAGAAATAGTCTAATTTTTATTGTTTGTGGATCATTATCTATTCATAATTGAACTTATATATTAAGATACTACTATTCTAATTGATATTTAAAAGACAAGAATCATGTAAGTTTTTTTAATAATCTTTCATTATCTATAAATGAAGCCTAAATGAATAATTGTCTTCTTAAGATTTTTAGTGGAATATATATCACTTCCTTCAAGTATAATATGTTTTAGTATTATGAACTATGACTTTATTTTATAGCAGTTAAGGAATTGCCCCCAAATGCCCTGGTACGGCTGAGAGAGGGCAAAGTCCGCTCTCCCTCTTCAAATGCTCTCACATGATCACGTGTATGTAGCCTCTGACAGGGAAGTCCTACTCACTGCTTTCTCGTGGCATTACTGTTGTTTACGAAATTGAGAGGACGAAAAGCGAATGTCCGGCACTTTAACCGGGTAGGTGGATGTAGAGGATCCACCTAGGGGAGTTGGAAAACCCTGATTCCAAACCAATCGTGCACATGAGCTCCAGTACCCTGAGGGAACAAACGGCGTATGAATCAATCGTTGGTCACCGGCTTCCATGGGATTGAATCTCCTTACGATGCTCCACTGCCGTGTGGATCAGCTCTTTAGGTCGAAGTCTCCGGGTGTGGCCCCCTAAGAAACCCACCTGCTTCAGTTTGGGCACATGAGCAGTATCACAGCCCTCACACAAATCGAATGAAATTTATGTGGCGTATATATATCTGGTGCTTCCTTGTACAAATATTTATGTGTTTGAATAAATGGATAAAGTTGAGGAATTTCTTGATTCATTGACAGATCGATCAACTTCAAGGATATGTATTAGTAAGATTTCGACAGTTAATTATGAAACAATGGTCTGTATCTGTTTACGAATATGGACATATATACATTTTACAAATCGAAATTGAAATCTATATCAGCTAGTGGTGTTTAAGTTTACTTAATCGAAATAATAACTTACTATCATGTACCAAGATTAAATAATATAAAATTGTAGAATCAGATAAGATCTGGATTTCTTTCAATCAAATAGTTTCCTTCTTAAGTTTTTTTGTTGATTTAGACTGAGATTCGTTGAAATACTAAATCTTAGTCAAGAATAAATAATTTAGAGTGATACACAACAGTATATATAAGACAACTGATAAGATAATCGTCAAATAAGGCTGAATTCATACAAACCATAACATTTTTTCACTTGGTATTGTTTGTCTGAATCTTCCCATTGATGTTTCACACTGCAAATGATCAGTCTCTTATTGACATATGTGCGTACTGTGTGTATTGCCTTGATATAGCTCTAATTCACAAGCATTGTAAGTAAAGATGGATAGTGGATAGCAGTGGAATCCAGAACGCGTGTTTCGACCTATTTGAGACTCAACAGCTGGACATACCTGCATCTCAGAGTTGATGTTTACTCTGGGACTCAAACCCAGTACTGTTCGCTTGAAATGCCATCGCGTTATCCACTCAACTACTGAGTCATTTTGCTTATATATTTTTTGCTTAATATATTTACATATATTAATTACTCCCATTAGCCAGACTTGAATCTAACATCACATTTCGATGAATAACAGTGAACATATGCTTGGTAAATATTTCACATTGATCTCATCTTGAAAGTATGGATACACGGTTTTCAAAGAAGAAAGTCTCACTTGAATGTAAAAAAACAACGCTTAAAACAATGATTGAGTGTGATATGTTTGTGGTCATTCATGTAGATCCTTAAGTTTTGTTAGTCCGATCATTAGATAGAATCTATCAGGAATATGCTGCAACGAAATCAGCTCGAAAAATCAATTTCACCAACTAGCTTAGACAAACTAGTATCCCATAAACTGTTCGATAATTATTAGCAAACTTTTATGGGTTGTATATAAATAACCAGGTAACTTCTTTAGCACATGAAGCAATCATCAGTTTGGATTAGTTGGTTTACAAAGAGCTCCTTGTCTGCAAGGTTGGCAAACTTCAGGTATGAGAAATGTCAATACATATTATACATTTGGATTCAATTTCCAAAATGTTCATAGGAGTTTTATGCTTTCCACTGCCTCCATCCTATGAAGTTATTTATTAAATACTGCCTAGTTTGAATGGCTCTTTAAATTCCTAATATGCAGTACAAAAAGCTTCATGTTTCGAAATGAGCAAAGTTGTGAGTAACCGACACTGTTTAACCCCAGTCATCGTGTATTATTATCTATGATAATTCTCATTTCCATGAATCGACCCTTTGCATGAATTAAAGTTATTCTTTTTAAATGTAAAACAATTTACCATTACCAGATAGGTTCTTCGTGAACAGTAAACAGTAAAGTTGTCATAAATACCTATTGCATTCTAGTTGTAGATATAGCTTTTCAAAGGGACTTAATAATACTCATTATTACGTTATCTATCACCGTATAAGAAATATATGTCTAGTGGTTTCTAGTCTTCAGTACTTCTTCAACTGAAATAGTCATATGGCAAAAAATATCTTTAATCAAGGGATAAAAGTTTGCCGTCATCACTTAATTGAGATACGTTTTGTAAATGATTAAATTAAAATTAGAGGAGTTCTGCTAATAAATAGAAAAATGTGTTCCTCTAAACTGTAAATTCCAGTACTTTATTTGGTACAAAAGTATTAGAGATAAACGGCAAATGAACATGTTTATCTATGATGAACAAAAAGACTTGGTCATTTTGCAACAGACTGACTGCTCTAGATCCTGAGCATCTACCACCCGATTCAGTAGACACCTAGATAGGTTTGTTAATTAGTAAGTTCACACTCAAACAGAACACTTCCCTTGACTCTCCTGAATATATGTAGTTTATCGTATGAAGTTGGTTAGTGAAATAAATCATCTACGAAATAGTTAGGTTGTCACTACTACCAATTTAAATTCGATTGTGCTTTTTGTTTTCAGCACTAAGCAAATTCCTTCTCGGCCGGGTCAAATGAATTCAGTTGTATCAGTCCAGCCTGATGGTACCCTGAACCAGTCAAACAAAAAACAATGGGATGTTGGCTTATGTGAATGTAGGTCAATTAAACTAACAATTCTCTCGTGTTTCTGTCCTTGCTGTGTTTTCGGAAGCATCACACAAGAAATGGATTACCCTTGGTGTATTTGCTGCTTGAGTTATTTGATAGCGTTATTTCTTTCGCCTATCATATGGATACATGTATTTTTGGGGTGCAGCTGCCGTAGACGTTTAAGGCATCATTATCGCATCAAAGGTCATATTGTCTCTGACTTTTGTGCTTCTCTTTTGTGCTCCTCATGTATGCTATACCAGTCAGCAGCTCAAATAGCTATTGAACGTTACAAGAAATTGCAACCTGGTGTTCAAAATCCTTATACAACAGGATTATTTCGTAAAATCGGTCATATGATAATTTCGTGTTACAGTATTCCAAGACGCATTCGTGATGAACATTTAAATTCCCAATCACTTCTGACCACGAATAGTTTGACATTGAACAACACACATATGTTCAATCCACAACCTGGATTCATCAAAACAGTTGATGTACCATACACAAGTCAACCAGGGCAAGCATATATTGGCATGCAGTCGACACATCTACAATCACACTCAACCTTACAGGCTCCTCATTCCCAACTGATGCCAGAAGCAGTTATACCTACGACACAATCATCAAACGTTTTGGTACACAAAATTCAAAGCAGCTCACAATTGCAACAAACTCAGAATATACACGAAGATCCTGTTACTCAATCAGGGACAGATGAATCCGAGTCTATTATGCATATTTAATGGAAATTATGGAGGTAAACGAAAATAAAAGCAAATTGAGACTGAAAAAATGTTAGCGTTAAAATTATCTTATTGGTTGAACTTTGAATCATTAAACATGTTTGTAAAACTTATAATTAGTTTCTATTTGTACTTAAACATGGATATTTAATAAAATATCTAGCTGGAAGAAACTTATCCGTTTTATCACAAAATCCAGACTGTCAGCTGGTTTTGACATAAAACGATCTTTCATTTGAAATATAATTTGATCAGCTTCAACTAAAGACATGAAATTCATATGAAGTTGTCATTTTTCATAGCTCTCAATATTCACTAAAGATCACGTTCAAAGTCATATAACCATGAGTAAGACAAGGCTGCAAAGATATTGTAAGTAAAATCAAATGGAACGCCAGAAGTCTGTTTACTATCCTAGGGTTTTGTAGAGACAAACCATCTCCTTATATGTTCTCGACAGTAATTCAATAAGCGAGATCAAAATCCAGTTAATAAAAACTTAGATTTAATTACCAAATGTGTATTTCTCCAAATGATACTGAAATAAACTACAATCATGGAGTAGAAACAATTAAAAAGAGGTTACAAACACAGTAGAGTTAAACTAATTAGTTTCTTCAACATCTGAAAAGTTCGAAACAGATGATGACTAGAGTGGATGAGAATCAAGTAACTCCAAACGTGATTTTGGAATACTTGGTAAATTTTATGATTACAATAAAATGCAAATGTATTAGACTATTCCTAGAACACAATCCAATGATTTTCATACATCATCTGGATAGAGTTTATGAATTAAAAGGCGGGTGAAAGGATAACAAATCAGATGACTAATTTATTCTAATGTCCAACTGATCATCAGCGTTCACGCTCTATGTCACAATAAGCAAAACCTATAATAATAAACTCTGGTAACAAATGGATTGGTATTCAGTTTCAAATTCGGAGTTCGGTTGCTAGTATCTTCTACATAACATTATCATTCATCTATAAAATTAAATTTACCATCATTTTTAACAAAGCGGATATAGCCTACTTAAATCTAGATTAAATTACTTACTTAGTTTATTGAATTGCTTAAGATAAACATATAGTAAGAACTAGTTGACAACTGAGTCCATCATTAGTGAATTATCTTGATGGATTACAATGGCAAAATTTCAGTAATGAATTTCGAAATATCTTAAAGTAAAATATTTGTTTGGCTTGAGAATTATTTTTGTCCAGTGCCGTCCAGTACTTCCAAATTTTCCATGGTGGTCTAGCTTCAATTGACTCATGATCTCAACTATTGAAATTGTTTTTGTGTTTGAACATCATTTTTCGGTCAAAGTTCAATAACTTTAAAGCAAGTTAGCAAGCAATACCGTTCATTTTATCATATGATAAACTAGAATATCACTATCCAGCGATTGAATACAATTTACTGTTATTAGACAAATTAAAACTACTTGAGTAAGAGGAATAACACTTAAAATTCACGGTTTCTTCTGCAGTAGTATATTAATAGTTGTCCCTAAAAATTAGATGCTGTTCTCAATTCCTATTGTGTTTGTATTTGGGAAAAATATATTACATTCATAACACAAATGCCGATAGAAGCCGGTCATTAATTTTTATATTCAAACTTTTATCTCAGTTAGTCATCTACAACATAAGGCTAGGTATATATATGCTGCTACCTTGACGTGGTGGTCGGGGTTGTTTATCGTGATGAACCAGTCGGCTTATACTAGCTGGAACAATCGTTCTTCAAGGTCCTACCATCTCAGGCAGGTTGGCTGGGGAGCGGTAAGTCTAAAAGAAGCGAACCCGAAAGCGAAGTTGTACTGCTAACTGTACGGAGGTGTTACGGCAATAAGATGTTGATCTTAAACAACCAGCATAACAATGATGCTGCCTTTCCACAAAGGAAAGATTAAAAGTTAGAAGGTTAGAAAAGGTCAACCCTAAAAATACACAGCTCGCCTTATCCCACAGATATCCGTCTCCGGTGGTAAGGTCTCAACAAGTATAGAACTAAAACAAAAATTACCCACAAAATGTACGTGTGTGACCGGCTTCAAGTAGTTATCCCTTGGGCGCTTCAATCACACTCTCAAGTTACTAAAATCAACTCTAACTCGATTTCCCTTTCAGGTACCTCTAGAAGGACTCTTATAATTTGTGAACAACCGGGAACTGATAACCGCCCTCATACATTTAACAGCATTCAAGGTCACATAGTTTATCTATGCAGAACTTATTAACATCTTACTTACTTACTTACTTACGCCCGTTACTCCCAATGGAGCAGAGGCCGCCGACCAGCATTCTCCGACCCACTCTGTCCTGGGCCTTCTTTTCTAGTTCTATCCAGTTCTTGTTCATTCTTCTCATGTCTGTCTCTATTTCTCGGCGTAATGTGTTCTTTGGTCTTCCTCTTCTCCTTTGACCTTCAGGATTCCATGTGAGGGCTTGTCTTGTGACACAATTAGGTGATTTCCTCAAGGTGTGCCCAATCCACTTCCAGCGCTTCTTCCTGATTTCTTCCTCTGCTGGAATCTGGTTTGTTGTCTCCCACAGTAACTTGTTGCTGATAGTGTCTGGCCATCTGATCCGCAGTATCTTGCGTAGACAACTGTTAATAAACACTTATATCTTTTGGATAATGACCTTCGTAGTTCTCCAAGTCTCCACCCCATACAGTAGAACTGTCTTGATATATGTATTGAAAATTCTGATCTTTGTGTTGATTGACAATTGTTTTGAGCTCCAGATGTTTTTCAGTTGTAAATATGCTGCTCTTGCTTTGCCGATCCGCGCCCTCACATCTGCATCTGATCCACCGTGTTCATCAATGACGCTGCCCAGATATGTAAAGGTTTCCACATCCTCCAAAGATTCTCCGTCAAGTGTAATTTGGTTGGTGCATATTGTATTGTATTGGAGAGTCTTGCTTTTCTCTTTGTTTATATTGAGACCTACCGCTGCTGAGGCTACTGCTACACTGGTCGTCTTCTTTTGCATTTGTTGTTGCGTTTGTGATAGAAAAGCCAGATCATCCGCGAAGTCTAAATCGTCAAGCTGCATCCTGCCTGTCCACTGTATCCCGTGATTTCCTCCAGATGTTGACGTCTTCATGATCCAGTCGATGACCAGAAGAAAGAGAAAGGGTGAGAGTAAGCAACCTTGTCTAACACCGGTCTTTACTTGAAACGAGTCGGTGAGTTGTCCTCCGTGGACGATTTGGCAGTTTAGTCCATCATAGGAGTTCCGTATGATATTTACTATCTTTTCAGGCACGCCGTGGTGTCGAAGAAGCTTCCATATTGTCGTCCTGTCCACGCTATCAAATGCCTTCTCGTAGTCGATGAAGTTGATGTAGAGTGATGAATTGCATTCGATTGATTGTTCCACAATGATACGCAGAGTTGCGATTTGGTCTGTGCACGATCTATCCTTACGAAATCCAGCTTGTTGATCTCGAAGTTGGGCATCTACGGAATCCTTCATCCTGTTTAACAATACTCGGTTGAAGACTTTTCCTGGTATTGAGAGAAGAGTGATGCCTCTGTAGTTGTCGCACTTGCTGAGATCGCCTTTCTTTGGTATCTTGATCAGAAGTCCTTTTTTCCAGTCTGTTGGTACTTGTTCTTCATCCCAAATCTTACTGAAGAGGATGTGTAGTATCTTGGTAGTTGCTGCTACATTTGCTTTCAGTGCCTCTGCCGGGATGTTGTCTGGTTCCACTGCTTTGCCGCTCTTGATTTGTCTAATGGCCGTGCTGATCTCTTCAATTGTTGGTGGGCCAACATCGATTGGGAGGTCTGTGGATGCTGCTTCGATGTTGGGTGGGTTCAGTGGAGCTGGTCGATTTAAGAGTTCTTTGAAGTGTTCTACCCACCTGTTTCGTTGTTCTTCAATGTCGGTGATTACTTTGCCTTCCTTGCTTTTCACTGGTCTTTCTGGCTTACGGTAATTTCCAGCAAGTTTCTTTGTTGTATCATACAATTGTCTCATGTTTCCTTCTCTTGCAGCCTTTTCCGCTGTCGTTGCTAAATCTTCCACATATTTACGTTTGTCGGTTCTGATGCTCCTCTTCACTTGCTTGTTTGCCTCTGTGTATTCGGCTTGTGCCTTGGCTTTTTCCGCTCTGGTTCGGCTGGTGTTGATTGCTGCCTTCTTCTTCCTCCTTGCTTCAATCTTATCCAGTGTACCAACAGTGATCCATTCCTTGTGATGGTGCTTCTTTTGGCACAGAACCTCTTGACACGTTGAAACGATTGCCTCCTTGATACCTTTCCAGTTGCTCTCCATGGTAGTTCCCTCTCCATTGAGTAGGTCATGAAAGGCCTCGAACCTGTTGCTGAGGGCTATGTTGAATTTGTTGAGTTTGTCAGCATCTCGAAGAAAGGCCGTATTAAACTTTTGTGATGTTGTCCGCGCCGTTGTCCAGTGCTTCTTGAGTTTTAGTTTCATCTTGGCGACCAACAAATGATGATCGGATGCTATATCAGCTCCTCTCCTGGTTCTCACATCCTCCATCGTCCTCCTGAACTTTTTGTTGATGCAGATATGGTCGATTTGATTCTGTGTAGTGTGATCCGGTGAAATCGAAGTGGCTTTGTGTATGTTTTTGTGTGGGAATATGGTGCCACCTATGATCAGTTTATTGAAGACACATAGGTTTGCAAATCTCTCACCATTTTCGTTCCTTTCTCCCAGTCCATGTTGTCCCATGACGTCTTCGTATCCAGTGTTGTCCATTCCAACTTTAGCATTGAGATCTCCCATCAGAATTGTCAGGTCCTTGGTTGGGCACTTCTCGACGATCGACTGCAGCCTATCGTAGAATTGGTCTTTAGCGTCTTCATCGTAGTCATTGGTAGGCGCATAGCATTGGATGACGTTCATTGAAATGCCCTCTCTCTTTGTTCTGAAGGAGGCTTTGATGATCCTTGGTCCATGAGATTCCCATCCTATAAGTGCATTTTGTGCTTTTCTGGACAGCATTAATTCAACTCCTTGTGTATGTGGGGCATTTTCTTCTTCATGACCGGAGTATAACAGAAGTTCTCCTGAAGACAGTCGTTGTTGTCCAACCTGCGTCCAATGTGTTTCGCTGATTCCAAGCACCTCCAGGTTGTATTTTCTCATTTCTGCAGCAATTTGGAAAACTCTTCCGGTCTCC